ACAGTCTCACTGCACTTGGTGGCCACATATGCAAGTTAGAGGCCATAACCCATAAGACGTGGTTAGATCAGAGGTGGCCACTGTCATCTCAGCTTCTTTCTCCCGGACACCGCGAGGAACTCATTCATTCTGTGCCTTGGCATAGGGTGCGTCATGCTTTTCCCTCTACTGATATGGTTACTTCCTAGAGCAGGACAGTACTCAGCCTGGAACCTGAAACAGCCTCAACTTACTTGGTCTGATAGCAGGTATTATCAAGATTACCCAAGAGAACAAGAGAGCATAGAGCCCTGGTCTGAAGGAGACAGTCACTCCAAGGGTGGGAAACAGCACTTTGTGGCTGCCCAGTAACCTACTACCAGGCAGTCGGTGGTGAGGAGGGTGTTGCCGAGAGGCTGGCAATGCTCTTGTGAGGAGGGAACGTGATCACTCACATGCACTTCCTTGTATAGCCTCTTGCAAAACAAGGCCCCCAAATAAATGCTGATTGTTAAATATTAATGGAAAGTTCTCAGATTGACCTCCACTTCTGGTACAGACGGGGTAGCCTCATTCCTCCAAAGTCTTCCTACTGAAAACTAAATTCCTGATCATAACCATTTGAGTTCTTTCTGATCATTAAACTAGCAACTTGGCTATGCTTAGATAAGGCCTGGGCAAGCCCAGGGGTGGGGAGTTTACTTTCAGGAAGAATGCAGTTGGAAGTAGATTATGCTCACACAAAGAACTAAGGAACTTGCCTGGATGTGTCCTTAAAGATTTATGGAAAATAGTTGCATGTTATCTAATTTATGGTAAAAGTATGGTATGGTATGGAGTTCTAGCCAACTTGTGACTGACTCAGGATTGCATGGTCTTGAGTCATTCTCTGATCACGTGACCAGGTGGTCGAGCCCTGGAACCAGTCCTCTAGGCTTACGAAACTGCAGTTGTGTGTCCCAATCATGGTCCCTCCCACCCCGCTTCTGTAGTTTCGCCTGTGACAGTTATGGATTGACCTGTCATCCATCATGCTCTTGTGATGATTTTTTGTTCTCCATCCTATCATGAACACCGTGGCTGGGAGTGAATAGAATCCATTGGCCTCTGTACTGTGTGCTTGATGGTTTCCCTCATCTGGATGTTTGCTTTGTTTTACCCTACTTAAGGCTTAATAAATGGGTCTCTACAGAATATGTTTGAATCTGGAGTCTTTTTTCCCTTGGTATAGATTCCAGGCTGTACCACACTGTCCTCCATGGAATCCTGAAGGCCCTCCCTGGTCCCCCACCCTCTTGGGCCTGCCCTGCCCCCACATTTGAGGAGGACCAGCCCCTCCTCCAATGTGCCTTACTAGGGGGTGAGGGGTACAGGTGGGGTCTAGAGCTCCTAAAAAAGGACCTAGACAGCAGGACTCAGCTCTAGCTTCATTCTCTCTTCTTAAACTGGAAATAAAACAACAGAGCAGGGGCTGTGGCCAGAGAGTAGAAGAGATAGGGCCTGTGGTAGCCAGCTGTCTTCAGTAACACTGTTTCCACGAGTAAAATACAGTTCTATTCCAACAACTGGGCTCTCCATGCCTGATGCTGTGAAATTTCTCTTCAAATGAGAAACTTCCAGTGTGGCTTTAATGCCTACTAAGCTTGCTCCCTGCTACTCCCTTAGCAAGGATGAATTCTTACCAAAGCTGTGCAAAAGTTTTTATTGTCATGAAAGACTAAGCAATCTTTTGGTGTCATGCGTGATGTGTGGACACAACACACTATCAGTCATTGTCAACAGAGTTCCTAGATTCCACTGGGAGCATCATCTCCCAAACTGTATTTATTCCCCGAAGGTGCCTGGGTAGCCCACTTTCAGGGTTGTAGAGAGACTGCCAATATATATTAGTCATTGGATGTCTTTAGAGAGAAGGTTTCTAGAAATGATTCACTCTGTAAACTAGGTTCACAGAAGTGTGCTGTGGGTGCAGGGCTCTGCCTGAGAACTCCTTCCAGGTGCAGGAATCCCAGGTGTTAGATTGAGTTCTCTAGAGAAACACAAAAACCAGCATAGCGTATATATATATATATAGAGAGAGAGAGAGAGAGAGGGTAATTTTTCTCAAGAAAATGGCTCACAAACGTATAGAAGCTGGCAAGTCCAAAGTCCCTGGAGGAAATGTCGGGCTGGTGGCAGCCTTAGCTTCCGCAAGCACAGGGGCCCAAGAAGCTCAAGGCTGGCAGGCAGTACACTGGTTGTTGACTCTAACGAAAGACGAATCCAAGATCTCCAGGCCGAGCGGTGGGCTGCTCACTCACGGAAGTTTGTAGTCAGCACACCAGGGTCCCAATCCCTCAAAGAATGTCTCTCTTCCCAGGATGTCCCTGGATATCCTGGAAGCAGGCCACACCCCTAGGGAAAGTCCCCTTGGGCAGATTGGCCACTCAGAACACAGTCATCCGATCCCATCATGGGAACAACCACACAGAACTGGGGTCCAGCCAAGTTGACACACAGCTCCAACTATCACACCAGGTAAAAGGTCTGGGGCCTACCAGCTGGTATTTGAAGGAAGGCCTGACTGTTAGGTGGAGCCCTGAGACTTGAGTGCAGTAGGCTACTTTTCTCACCTTTTGAGTTTCAGTGGGCCCCACTTGCGCAGGAGGTATTCCTGACCAGAGCAGGCCTCCCCGACCCCACTTGGACACACACAGATTCCTACTGTGGTGCAGAGGAAGATGGTGACTTGGGTAGAACTTCCAACCTGGGAAGAAGCCCAACTGGTGCAGTGGTAAAGCACTCGGCTGCTAACCAAAAGCCTGGAAGTTTGAACCCACCAGACACTCCATAGGAGAAAGATGCGGCAGTCTGTTTCCATAAAGATTAAAGCCTTGGAAATTCTATGGGGCAGTTCTTACTCTGTCCTGTAAGGTCACTATGAGCTGGAATCAATAGAACAATAGCGGGTTTAGTTTTTTATTTTTCTCATCTGGGGCCAGGTGTGAGGGCAGCAGGTTCCATCCTATAGGGAGAGAGCCCCTCGCTGTCATACACATGACCCTGCGTAGGGAGAGTTGTCCCAGCAGCCTCAAGAAGGTGTAGAAATCTCTGAGGTCCTTGTGACTGGAAGGTTCCGACTTGCTTCCTCCCTTGTCCAGTCTCTCCTTTAGTGGTCTTTGTCAGGGACATTTCTGATACACTGAAGTCTCTTTCCTCGGTTGGGTGATGGGCCATTGGATGCTCGTAGGCCACAAACACAAACACAAAGCAGGAATCCAGGGTTTGCACCACGACATGCTCCAGCCTGCAAGGACACCAGGATTCCAAATCTGACACTTCTAGGACCTGTGGTTTCTGTATGTCCAACTGTGTGCCCTTCATTTTCATTTCACATGGACCTGGAAATAAACTGTGGGTGATGAGCTTTGCCCTTTTGATCAGGAATCCAGAGAAGTTCCAACTCTCAGTCCAATGAGTCGAGTAGAGAAGTGGTTCTGAACTTTGCACACAGTCCTGTTTTGGTGGATATCCTCCTGGTGTCCACCGCACTAGCTCTGAGGAAAACAATTAGAGGTGGGACAGAGGGGTACATGACCTCATAACTGTGAACTGTATAGGAAACCACAGATGAGGCTTCTCTCTTACACAAATATCCATGCGTTCATGCTTACAGTACATGTCAGAGAGAAAAGAGCTGAATAATTGAATTTTTGAAAAAAAATATATTGTGGTCTGATAGAGACTGGTGGAAGGAACCCCCTACACCATGCCCCTGAAACACCCTTCAGGCCTGGAACTGAATTCATCCCGTGGTTCACCGTTCAGCCAAACGTTAGATAGGCCTACAAGGTGAACAATAACACTAAAGGAATGAGTGTGCATTCATTAGAACAATCTACCAATGAGATCAAAAGGGCGGTATCTGTCCAAGAATACAGTTCAAAGGCAGGAAAAGATAGGAAAGAGGAATGAGGGGAAATGGTAAACACAGGGAGGAAGTGGGAAGAGTGCTGTTATCTTGTGAGGACTACAATCAATGTCATGAAATAAATGTGTATGAATGGTTGAACAGAAAAGCCATTTGCTCTGTAAATTTTCATTTAA